GGTCCATCGGGGGGAATTAGAACTACTTCATCTTCTAGAATGCTTTTGAAATTCATTATTAACGTTTAAGAACTAAGGCTTTTTAAACTAATCTCCGATTTATGATTTTGACTTGAAATTTATTTATTTAAATGTTAAGTCAATGAGCTTTAATTTTAAATCTCTAATTAGTTGCTTGTAACGGTTATTTTAGCCTTAGCGGCACAACGTAGGCATTGTTGGTTGATGAATGAGTCTTCCGGTGTGGCATGGCTGTGACACTCTAGTTTAGCCGACCGGGGTGTTACAATATATCACATCTATTTTATTTAATAATTATTATTATCATATCAGAACAAGTTCACCACATATCACGAAGACATAATCATAGCGGTTTATTTATTTCAAACATGCATAATTTAACTCCTTACCTTAGCCGTAGACTTATCTCGCGTAATGAAAATATAATACAACCCCAAGCCGACTGGGACCCCAGACAATCTTAATTACAAGGTTAAACTATAATTAAACCATGAACATCAAACAACAACAATGCATAAAATTCAATAACTCGGACAAAAAATCACACACGGCTCCCAAATGATCCCAACTCAATCCAAAAACTATCAAAATTATTTATGAGGCTTTAGAGGAAGAGCGGACAATTTTTCCATCACAAAATTATCATTTTTTCTTTTATCATTCCTTTATTTTTCTTCTTTTTCTATTGTTGAATAATATAATTTGATCTTGAATCAAATACAATTCGTTTCCGTTTTTTGGTCTTGAATCGATTTATATTTATTTCTTTTCTAAGTGTATCGCATACCACCAAGGGTTCGCATCGAGTAGCCTGGGAACCTACCAATCCTCCTGGCGAGAAATTTTATGCCGGAAATATTGAACAATAATTCAAATAATATTCAATTAATTATTTTGATAAAAGCCAAATTTATAAATTTTAATATTGGACTATTCCTATAATTTTTAAAATATTTTATTTGTAATTATAATTTTTTAATAAATGTTTTTATAAATATTCTATTATTTTAAAGATATATACTTATTCTAACAATATGTACGATTAATTTTATAAAATATCCATATATAGTACTAATGAGCCACTAGTATATATATATATATATATGATAGTTGTTGACTTTTAAATGTAATTTTTTATTAAAAATTATTATTTATCCATTTAATTAAATAATTGATATAATATGTAAAAGGTTTAAAAATACGTTGAAATTTGAAAAGTTATTTTTTAAATTATGAGTTTGTACATTTCGTGGTCATAGTTTAAGTGTTTTGGTTAGTATGTATGAAATTTTAATACTATTATGGGAGGAAATAATATTTTATTTGTTTAAATTGTTAACTTTTATTTATATATGTGTTGTTGATAAAAATAAAAAATAAAAAAAAAAATTGATTTTCACGGGCTGATGGAATTTGACAGATTAGAGAGTCTTTGGGATAGATTTTCCAATTTACTCAAGAAAGTATCCAGCCTAGATCTGTATTGATGATTTGAAGATAAATCAAAATAAATAAAATTACAGGAATTTAATGCATAAACTAAAATAAAATTGATGAATTTAAGTGAAATAAGGATTGAAAACAATATAGGAATTTTAAAAAAGAAAGCAAGAAAACAAAATAGGAATTTTAAAAAAGAAAGCAAGAAAACAAAATAAGAAAGTTTTATTACTAAACCAAAATCTACTAAGCAGTATTCTCTCGAAATCAAATCAATATCGAACAAATCTTAAAGAAAACTTCGATTTATTACGGAAGCAAGCAGACTCAGGTTACCCTATTATCAAATAATTCGACACCAAACACACAACCAAGACCCCGACCACAAATTACACGCCATGGAAACGCAACAAACACGCAAATCCGAACCCTAATCTAAGGAAACATTGCCGAAATCAAGCCTAAAAAACATCGCAGACAAGATTACACTGCGAACCAATAATAAGGTATAAATCGACAAACCAAACTGTAGAAACTCCAAGGGGGAAGGCACACATCGAAGGGGAAGAAGATCTTTGCAAATCACCGGACAGATTCACCGGAGAATGCATGAGTAATCGTCGGAATTGCACTGGAATCGCGTCGAGAGAACTATGGCTCAAAGAGAGAATCACGATGTGTTCTATTTTGTTCTAAATGAGTGAATTGAGTGAAACCGTTCAAGGATCAGCATTATATATATAGATTAGAAGACTCAGCCTACGAACCGACGAGTCTCACAAAGGTTCGGGTCGGGTAGCGGGTTGCCGGATCCGGGCTTCAATTTTGGGCGGGCCGGTTGTGTGCGTTTCAGGCCTCAATAATCACTGGCCAAAATATATAACAAATTTTCACCTTATTTTGGGCATGGAAGATTATTTTCTCGGGTGTCATCACGGTCCAAACTTTCATTGCTTCCAAGTATTTTAGTTCATTTTTAAAAAAATTCATTTTAGCCATAAGTTGAATTACTCTCCTACACAAAGAAAATTGAAATCAAATTAGGTTTAAAAAACACTATGGAAACCTACTATGATACATAATAAACCTAAAGTTACACACAAGTAGCACCGGCTAATCAAATGTATCAAAACATACAATTTTCACATAAGATACAAACACATTAGTTTTCCAAAATATTGTATCTTCACCAACAGGATTATACTCAAATTCAACTATTAGAAAAGCTACTAAACATTGTAATTGTGTCTTGCAACAAAAAATTTTACCACACAATGTACAAAATGAAAGAACAATAAGCTTTCTAGTACACATATCATTTACAATCAATGATAACAAATCACAATCAAAGCTCATAATGTTTAGGAACTAAATTCAAATTTTTATTCTTAAGTAATGAGTTCATATATTCTTTTAGAGCTTCTAAACATTGACACTTATACCAAGAATTAATTGTCTCCATAACAATCATTTGTTCATTCACATATAAGCCATCAAACATACAACAAGATAAAGAAGATAACTTTCAAATTACCAAATATAGAGAACAAAATAGGACTATTCCTAACTCCATCTCTAACAAATAGGTAATTTTCAATCTCATTTTTCTCATTCAAATTAGTTCCAACATTGCTTTTAATTTCAAAAACCGAATTTTCAACAATGTTCTTAACATGCTGCCCAGCAGCAACACCAATTTGAAAATTACCAACAAAAATTTCAGTTTCACTATTTTTATCAACCTCAACCTCATTTTGAACACAATTGTCAAAATCAGAGATAATATTTTCATTTAAAAAATCAAAGTATTGCTCACCAGCAGTTTTCACACACAAAACATAATTAGAAGTCATATCGGCATAACTAAAATGTCATAATGGAAGCAATTTGATTTATAACAAAGTATTATCTACATATATATATCACAAAACTGCACATATTTATAATCAGCAACAGCTTTTTTTTTTTCAAAAGATTCGCAACGAAAAACAGTGTTATCATTTTCAACGTCATAAACAAATTCAACATCAATTTGCACAGTATCAGCATATTGAACACGAATTTCAGATTCAAGATCAATGTCAAGAGGTTTATCATCACAAGATTCACTTTTAGTATGCTTTTCAGCAACAAATTCAACATTCAACGCATATTCAGAATCAGTATCAGCACTACTTAAATCATCAAAATACATATTTTCTTATTATAGGGTTTTATTGGAATGAATGGTCAACTTTGCTTTGCAGCGCTGCCATTCTTTTGTAGAAAAAATATTGGTCTCTCTCTTATCCTTATTGTTGCTCAACCGATTAATTTTATTTCTGTCATGATTTATTTAATAATTTTTTAATATAATTGTGGAGAACCAATTCCACAAAAGCATGTGGAGTTCGCTCAATGCTGCTAGAACTTGTTTAACGCTATTGGACCCTGCTTGACGCTTCTAGACATCACTCGATGCTACTAGGCCTCGATCGATCGAGCTAGAGTTCGCTGGATAGAGTTCCGTTATAGAAGAAAATAATATATATATGTATATATATATATATATAATATTTGTGTATGTTTGAATTGTTGATATTTTTATAACATGAAAATCTACTGCGGTTATTTTTTGAGTGCGTTCCAGATAAATTTTTGATCGAATCTAATACTTTATTATATATGTATAGTGGTTGATTTTCGATGTAATATTTTTTTAATCAGTAGTTATCCATTTGATTAAATAATTGATATAGTATGTAAAAGGTTTGGAAGCAAGTGAAAAAGCAATTTTGGATTGTAAATTTCTTTGTTTCGTAGTTATAGTTTTAATTGTTATGATATAAAAATTCAATAACAAATTCTTCATTATATTTTTTATTTATTATATTTATAAATCAACTTTCAATTTGTACATAAAATAATACTATTTATGTAAATTTTGTATTGTCATAAAACTGTACGGATAAATAGCTAGTTTTAATAATATAATATTAAATTTATATAGTTTTATATTTTATTTTATGAAATATATGAAATTTTGATTGATATTTTTATAAATTTTTATTTTTTTTATAGTAAAAAGGTATAAAAATAATACTCCCTCCGTCCAATTTCTATTGTCCTAAAGTATATTTGCACGATTTTTTAGCTGATTGTCTTTTTTGTTATGAATTGACAAATTTGTCCTTAATTAAATGATAAAAATTAAAAGTAACAAATGAATATAGGATAAAAATGTAAAATTTGTGTTTAAAAATAGAAATAGGACAATAGTTGTTGGATGTCCCAAATAGAAAAGTAAAAAATTAATTTGTGGACGAAGAGTGTATAATTTTTCACTAGATAAAAAAATAAAAATATTTTAAAAGACAAAAGAAAAGCACAAGTTTATAAGAAAAATGAGTACTATTTATTAAATTTAAGAGTACCTAATAATAAGGCCGGACCAGTTCCTTCCCCAACTCGTAACGGCTAGTAGTCCGTATCGAAGCAAAAAAAATTAAAGAGAAGGATCATCGTCAGATCCGCACGCCGTTATAGCAGCAAACGAATTAATTCAAACTCACCAACGGCTATCTTTATCATACAGACTTGTCTCGCTTTTGCTGTTTTCTTTTTTCCCCTCTCTCTCTCTCTCTCTCTCTCTCTCTCTCCACTCTCTTTGAAATTCCGAGGAACGAGGAGGGAGGATTGGATTCTCTGAATGAGTAACGGATAATTAAGTAAGTAGTAGTATTCGGTGAGTGCTACTCTGTGCTGCTGTGCTCTTCTGGTAGGGTGTCCTATTCGAATGCTATCCATCTATTTATCAATCTGCTTTTAACAGAACAGGCGAGTTAATATTACCCCTTTTGTTTCCCGCCCGCTCGGTTTTGTTCGTGTGGGACTGGGAATTGAATTGAACTGAACTGGAACCAGTCCGCCAGTGCTGCCGCTGCTGCGTTGTGGTCCTCCAGATCAGATTTTGCTGTTTAGGTATTTTATGTTTTTCGGCAGTAATGTTGTTAATGATGTCATAGCTGCTGCTTTTTTATGCATTCTCTCTCTTGCTATGCTAGATGCTTCTTTTTGTTTTAATTTGGTGCTTACTTACGATACGAGTGATTGTATGTACGTAGTAGTAGTAGTGAAGTAGTTTCGTTGTTGTATGTAGTGATTACTGAACTGAAGTGAAAGGGGGAATATTTGTTTGTTGGTTTTGTTCCATTCCCAAGCAGGCAGGCAGGCAGGGATTGTGTTGTCTGTCTTCTCTGATATCTGTGAAGGAACGAACAAGTAGTTGTAAATGGAGAGAGCGTATGCACATGCGTCTGTGCGTGCAGAAGAGGCTGATGATTATGAAGCTGGAGCTGAGATGGAAAAGGAAGATTTGCTGCTGGCCAGAGTCAGACTCGAGGAGGAGGAAAGAAGCAAGTTTGAAGATGAATTGAAATGGAAGAAGGAACAGTTCAATCATTTAGAAGAAGCCCACAAAAGGCTTCAGGATGAATTCAAAAGCAGGCACAGCCAGTGGGACCACGAAAAATCTGCTCTTCTTGATGCCATCTCTTCTTTACAGGATAACTTGGAGTCTCAGAAAAGAATTTCACAGGACCTACAAGGCCGACTCGAAATGTGTGACCAGGCTCTAGCTCATGCTGAGACCAAAAAAAGATCACTGGAAGCTCAATTAATGGAATCCAGGACAAGGTTTGAGGATGTCTGTGTTGAATATGAGGAAGCCAAGCTAAGTTTCGACAACTTAACTTGTCAGAGAGATGAAGAAATCGCAACACTGAGGAGTTCATTGAGGACAAAAGAGATACTCCACAAAGAAATGGAGTATCAGCTCAAGAAGGTGGAGCAAGAAAACCAAGAGCTGTTGGCTTCTTTGAAACAACTCCGAGAAGCTCAAATTCGTGGAAGTTGCTTTTCCTCTTCCTCTTCCTCTTCGAAGCTTCAAAGAAAGCTCAAGTCTTTGGAAGAGGTGCACAGGGGATGCTCCACAAAGGAAGCTGAATGGCACGCCCGGATGGAGGAATTATCAGATGAATTATACACCTGCAGATTGGAATTGAAAAGCAGGGATGCATTGTTGAATGAGCTCTACGGGGAACTGGAAGCTTGTCATTCTTTGAAACTGCAGCTGGAATTTGTGTATGAAGAAGAGACTAAGCTGATTCTACTGGTTCTGAAATCGCAGCTTGCAGAAGCAGAAATCAAGCAGGCCAACAATGATCTGAAGAACAAGGAAAAGATTACCAAGCTAGTTGAGGAGATGCAGAGCACAAAGGATGCTCTTACCAGCGTTGAGAAAGATCTCGAGGATGAAAGGGAAAGGGTTATAATTTTGTTGCAAGAGGTTGAAAGGCTTGAGAAAAACCTCCAAGAATCAACAGCAGCAGCATGCCAGGGCCACTTGGAAAAGGTTCGAGCCACTGAAGAGCTGTATGAGAGATGGCAGGAAGCGGACGAAATCAAGTTTGAATTGCAGGAATGGAAATGTATGGCCCAACAACTTGCAGAAAATCTCAAGCAGAAGCTTGAAATGCGTAGAGAAGTAGAAGCTTCTCTTCTGGCAGAAATGGAGGTTGAGCTGAATCTTAAAGTAGAGAAAGAAAGTCTATGCACTCAACTTGAAGGAAAAGAGAAGAGAATAGAGTGTCTCCTGCAACAGCTTGCAGGAAGAGAGGAAGAGATACAACATCTCCAGAAACAGCTTGTTGCCGAAAAATCAAATATAGAAGAAACATGCAGCAAATGCAAGAAGAGGAGAAATTTGATGCCTCAAATCAGTTTGCTATTGGAAAAGATGGAAGACCAAACTCGGGAAGATAAACATCTGATGGAAAGGATGATGAACAATATTGATGATGACTTCGAAGACAGTGTAAAAGAGAACACCACATTATTGATATCACCATCGACCAAGACGAAGATGATCCACGATGACAGGTCACCACTGCGAACACTCAACACTTGATACTTATTTAACACTTCTTAACATTTACTTAACACAGAGGTCAAGGTCAGGTCAGGGATGTGATATTTGTTTTATTCATTCCATCGAATTGAACTCTCACTCACTCACTCACTCACTCACTCTTACAGAACTAGTTTGCTTTCTGTGTGTTTGTTTGTGTACAATAAATAAATACATAATAATAATAAGCTGCCATTCATTCCCATTACATAGCCTTTCACTCTTAACTACTAACCGAGATTACACTGTTTTTGATAATATGTATTGTTCACACTCAAACCTAAGCCTTGTGGCATATAAATAGATATAGTTAGTTATAAATCAGCCTTGTGGGACATCATAAATCCAAACCTCATTCATCTAGAGAGAGAGAGAGAGAGTAAAGGGTAGTTCCAACAAGTCGCAATCGAAGGTGTTCCGCATCATATTCTAACAGACAGTACCTTTGTTGGAAACTGCAGTTTCTTTATTTTATTTTAAAAGTATAAATAGGTTTATTTAATCAAATTAGTGCTTAAAAATAAATCATTTTTTTAAAATAAAATTTAAATTATACATTAAATAATTATTTCGTAATCCTAAGAACTAAATTGGAGTATTATTTTTAAAACTCTTTCTAGTTTATTAAGTAGTCTCTTACTCATCTAGAGTTTGTTCATTTAATATTTTTGGTGAAACTATTCTTTATAACTATAATTAAGAAAATACAATATATATATATATATTAACACAATAATATAGAAAAAAATCAATTTTGGTCTCAATATAATTAAAATTTATCAATTTTGGTCCCAATATAAACAATTTCGATCAATTTGGTCTCACCCTTAAAAAACTAACGGAAATTACTGATGTGGACATAACGGAGGTGACGTGGCAGTTGACCTGGAAAGTACAAGGCCCATGTATAATCATAAACGGTCATATTGTTACATGGTCATGTATATTTCAATGTATAATTATACATGGTCATGTTGTTACACGGCCATGTACAATTATACACGGCCATGTACATTTCTATTTTAGTTTAAAATTTTATTTTGTTATTATATTTTTTTTTAAAAAAAATTATTTTGAATTTAAAATAGTTGATATAGTTAAAATGGACAAAATCAATAATAATTATAATATAATTAAAATTTATCAATTTTAATTCAAATATGAAAATTTTATAAGATATATTTTTTTGAAAGATTTTGTCTAAAATTTTATTATTCATAAAAAAAAAAAAAAATTCATCTTACAAACATTTAATTACACAACTATTTTTTAATTTTGTATATTATAGTAGTATTAAAAATTAATTTATTATTTCAATACCGTAATTGGATGTTTGTAAGAGAAATTTTTTTGCTAAATAGTAGAATTTTTAACAAAATCTTCTAATAGAACATACTCGATAAATATTTATATTTGAACTAAAATTGATACATTTTAATTATATATTGATTATTATTGATTTTTTTTTTCATTTTAACTATATAAATTATTCTAAATTAAAAAAAATTAAAAAATATAACAAAAAATAAAATTTTAGACCGAAACAGAAAGGTACACGGCCGTGTAACAACATGGTCATGTATAATTATACACTAAAATATACATGGTCATGTAACAACATGACTGTGTATAATTGTACATGGCTGTGTAACACCATGACCATGTATAATTATTCACTGAAATATACATGGCCGTGTATAATTGTACATGGCCGTGTACTCTCCAAGTCAACTGTCACGTCACCTCCTTTATGTCTACGTCAGCAATTTCCGTTATTTTTTAAACGGTGAAACCAAAACTGATTGAAATTGTTTATAATTGGACCAAAATTGATTGAAATTATTTATAATTTGACCAAAATTGATTGAAATTATTTATATTTTGACTAAAATTGATGAGTTTTCTATATTGGGACCAAAATTGATAAATTTTGATTATATTTGAACCAAAATTGATTTTTTTTCCCCAATAATATATATATAGTTTCTCTATTCGTTAAAAATCAACAATTCAACATAAAATATTACTTTTTATTTCGTAAATTTAGTTTCATTTCTTTATATAAATATAAAAAAGTTAGCTAACTTTTCCTGAAGGAGTATTTTTTTTATTACCAATATAATTCTCTATGACTAATATAAAAAATATGTTCTGTTAAATCATTTCAATTCTACTTCAATTGATATTTAGATAAAATGAATAAATAAAGTAGTTCTCTGTATTCTATATTTTATTTTTTTTTTCATTTTGAATTTTAATAATTTTGAAGTAAAATAATAGTTATGAACTTAAAAAATATGTACTAGTGGTAAAGATAAATGATTGTATAGTAAAAATGGAAAAAATAAAAAATAAAAGAGATATTGTACCATGTGCTGAAATTTTCTAATCGAATGATAATTAATGACGTTTTTTTAGAAAATTTAGAGTAATTCAATTTTAGGTTTGTACCAAATATAATATCCAGATGTTTAATAGTAAATAATTTATGGAGAACAACGAAAAATTTGAAAAATAAAATAAAATAAAAGAATAAAAGGATAACAACTATAAATTTTATTGAGATTTTGGATTGTCTTTTAAATGATTACAACATATCTTATTTACAGACTAAGTTGTGTCTTACTCCTTGATACGCCATTCTAATATACTAACAATATGAAGGGATGTAACTATTCGCAGAAGAATAATATAGAGAATATAATTTATTTTAATGCTCCTAATTATATCCTAATTTGAATATCTATATTATCCAAATTAAACAATCTTGTAACAATTTTTTGATATTTTGCTAGCAAAATTTAAGATATTATTTTAATAATCAAAATCTTAGACTTAAATATCAAAAATTTAATCTAATATTATATTTGAAATCAAGATTCAACCGTCAATCTACAACTAAATTTAAATTCGTCACTCACTTTGTTCATCCAGAATGGTCATCTTTCCTGGATATCCTACATGCTTATATCACTTCCGAGCCATATCTAACATGCCGCCCAAATTACATGTTTCAGCGTCAATCTGAAAAGTCCGATGTATCGCTCTACTTGTCCAATTTTAAAAGTTGGACGTACTAACTCTACCTACCAAACTTTAAAAGTCTAACAAACCTCCCAACCTATCTAACTTTAAAAAGTCTGACATACCCGTCTTCCCGTTAAACTAAAAAGTCTCCGTGCTTCTTGAAAATTGTTCGATATGCACGTCACACCAAAAGCTTGAGATATCATTCCATCCGTCAAACTACAATACCTAAAATCATCCAACACACCAATTGTTTGGGATATTTGGATGTCTTTGTTGAATTTATCAATCCTTTATCCAGGTACGTCCAAGTTTATTTTGTCTTTGTCATGTCTATCTATTTTGAGCTTGATTAATTTCTCATGGTAACATAGGCCCCTTAAAATTAAAAAGTGAATTTACTTTTTATTCCATATTTCCATTTAATTCAAATACTTCTTTCTTGGAACCACCGTAGCTTATCTACTTCATACTCTAATTTTATCTTTGTGTACTGACAATTTGTTTCTTTTGCAGTTCATCGACTATCAACTTGATGCATGTACCTTACCCGTTATTCATCATGCATCTTTTTCTTTGGATGACGGTATCGCCCGATCATTCACTTCTTGGAACGATGGCTGATCTATCTAGCCAACCTTCGATTGAACTTATTAGAAGTAAGGTGGCTTGCCACAAACTATCTACACAAACTTCTTCAAGTTCTATTGAACCATCTAATAGCCATCAGAGCTAACAACATTATGAGAGGTCTCCAACTATTGTCAATAGTGAAAGCGATGACTCTGATTCTGATGGTTCTCTTCGGATGATGATTTGGATCTAGTCATACACCATACTTCTAATATTTCCCCGGTAAAATCTTTCCACCGAAGGTTTTTCTCCTTTCAAGATGCAAGCCATATTCCCGACGTGTTAGGAAGACGGCTGACGTGAACGTACAAAGGCCTTCCGAACCACTTGGACCAATTACCCGAAGCCGAACTCATAAACTTCAAGATTAATTTTCTGGCTTAATCCGAGAGCTCGAGATGAATGATATAAATAAGGATGAAGCATGGAGACGCATTGGCCCGAGCCTAACAGTTGTACAAGCTCAAAATGATTGAAGACATATGATGATGTCACTGCTTACATCATAAGAATTGACATCATTGATTACATTACATATGATGATGTCATTGTTTACACCATAGCATTGACATCATTGCTTACATAACTTTTTGGGAATGTATTACCATTAATAACAATCTTAGAAATATATTCTTTTGGGAATGTGTTGTCATTATTGTGATATTTGTAATATGCTTTTGGGAACATGTTTCAATTATGTGTATTGAAATATGTTCTCGATAGGAATGTTTCCCCCTCTTTGGCATATATATAGACTCTTATATCCATTTTCATATCAACTTCAGTGATAATACATTTCTCTTCCTTGGAAAACTTATGTTTTTCATTGTATTTACTATCAAAGTGTGAGTGAGTGATTCCTTGTACATTGTTTTCATATCGGGTCTTTGGAATTATCCATTACTCTGTGGCTTCTAAATTCTTGCAAAGGAATTAAGTCTATCGATTTGTTCCTTTTCCATAGTTAGGATTTTGGATCCAAGATTAAATTTTTTAGGTTCTTAATCAACTAGGTTGGGTCTCCAGTTTATGCTCTATCTCACCTTTTTTTTATTGAATTCCTTATATTGATTAAGATTATTCTTCTTTAACCTTGGAAAAATATACAAACCCACATGAATTACGTCATTTTGGTATCAGAGCTATTAGCTCGAGTTCCTACACTTCAGTTTTATTCTTTATCATCTAAAAAAAAATACAAAAAGCTTGTGCTAATAAAAAAACAACACACTTGTTTGCTTGTTCTATTATATCTTCTGCATTTCCTATCATAAGTATTTCTTTTATTATCAATTTCAATTTAGTTCTTCGTAGTGGCTTTCACTCTCTTGATTTTTTTGTCACATCTTTGGAAGCATTTCATTGATCTAATTTGTGCTTTGTACAAGACAGAGAGGTACAATACGTGAGGAGTGAAACACAAGAGTTGTGAGGGTCTATTTTTTAACTTATCTATACATATATTTCCTGTAATACCCCCTGAGTTGTGCCGGTACAAGGGAAACTCCCGTGGATGAGCCGGTGTCAGGCTATCCGAGA